ACATTGATCAGCTGCCTCCTGCATACTCCCCACTGGAGATGTGCCCACAACCAAGGTACATGCCCTTGACCAGAATTGAACCTGGGACCTTTCAGTCCACAGGCTCTATCCACTGAGCCAAACAGGTTAGGGCACCTGTTATTTTAATTTTAGAAAGTAGTGTGTATGTGCCACCCCATTTGTGGAGTGAGGGGTCAAAGACATATTTACAAATGCTATGGAAAAACCCCACTTGCTTCTCTTATGAACGACAGAGTCCTGGATAATTGACCCCAGACAGCATCTATCACTTCCAAGACATTTCTGTCTTGTCTCATTCAATGCATGTGTCCCCCGCACCTACCCGGAACCAGCTGTGCTAGGCGCAAGCTTGGAATACGACATGGCCCCAGCTTTCTAGGAGCTAGTAGGCTCATGAGAAAAGGCAGGGATTTGCAGAAAGGAAAAATTAGAAGGACATATGATTTGGTGACTGAATTATGGGTAATCTGGACACTGGAAAACAAACCTTGGTTATGCACTTGCCAATGCCTTTGCTTCAGTTTCCCCTGCTGCAAAGCAGAGCCAGGAGTAGGGTGAGGGCAAGATGAGCAGTGGCCTCAGATACAAAACTTAAGGGGGAGGGGGCAAAAATTCAGTAATCAAAATAAATAACATTTTAATGCAGTAGTTTAAAAATAAAAATGATTGTTAAGAAGTCTACAGTGAGCAATATTAAAATGTTAAATAAAGCCATGATCCAACCATGCACTTGCATGAGCTGGCCTAACTCTCCTCACTCCCACCTGGGCCCTGGTTTCAATAGAACATTTGTTATAATGGCCTGTGGGCTGTAGTTTGCAGACATCATTTTTTAAACTATTGCATTAAAATATTCCTGATCTTGACAGTTGAGGCTTTTTAGTACTCTCTTAAATTTAACACCCTCACTTACTCTAGTCCCAGTCCCACTGTAAAGTGTCCTTGAAAATAGGGTTGCCAGGTAAAACACAGGACGCACAATTAGCATGGAATTTTAAATACAATATATTCCACAGGATATACTTATACGGGAAGCTTATTTATCTGGAGTTCAAATTTAATTGAGCATCATGTATTTTCATTTGCTAAATTTAACAACCCTACTTGAGAAGTAGCATAGAGTCCCCCTCTAACACGAGGCAGTATTAGTCCCATGGCAACATACCCCACCCACATACACATACGTTTTGCACACTATGAAAGAGACATTAACACCCCATTTCCATGGGATGCCCCTCCTTTGATCTTCTTTCAGCTCCTTGCCTTATAGTTTCAGCCACTGAGCCAGACCCGAATTGCCTGGGCCCCCCTCAGCCTCCAGAAGCACCCTCTTCTCAGGGTCTGGAGCACAACTCGTTGCTCCAAGCCAGACCGGATCCCACTGTGCCCTCCTGGCATGTCAGATCAGCACAGTCCCATCCCTCCACCAAGCTGTCAGCATCCATTCCCACAGGGGCAGTGGGATTCTTATCAGTGGGGACGAGGGTCAGGGAGAGCAGTGGGCAAGCCTTGAGCACCAGTGTGTCAGTGACAACCCAAAATGGCCGAGAATGGGAGGGCAAGCTAGGTTTAAAGAAGCCACGCTCAGAAGGGCAAAGATGGGTGGAGCCAAAAAGGGAGGAAAGGACCGATGGGGACTTTCAGAGGAACGGGGGCTAATCCTGACAGGAAGGAGGACATTGATAAGGATCAAACAGTGGTGGGCAAGGAAAGGAATGGGGTTCTGGGCGGCGTGGCGTTGCCCACTGTCTGAGGGGGCCGAGCGGGTCACAGCTGAGCTGTTGAATCCAGGACATCACTGGCTTTGTCCCACCATTGACCACTCAGGGGGCTGCTCGCTTTTGCACACTGGGCTTGCATCAGAGTTATCTGGGATGCTTGTTACACAACTCCCAACCCTGGCCATCGCTCCAGACGTACTTTCTTAGAATCATCCAGGAGCCCAACTCTGCATGTAAAACACTTCCCATGTGGTCCTTATACAACCCAAACCCAGCCTCAGAGGGAAACCTTCTGCCGTGAGGGATAAAGGAAAAGGTATTGGCTGCCCCCTCTTTCATAGAGGACATCTCTCTGTGCCTTGGGGCTCCATTCACTTGAATTTAGGGCCACCCCAGGGGCTGATGGTCATTCTGGAAAATTCGCCAGTGGAGGTTGTAGATGACAATGGCAGGCAGAAGCAGTGACTGTTTGCACAACCTCATCAGAGCATGAAGAACCTCGAGATAGACTTCATGTCCAAGTGGACCTGGTGCCCGGGAAGAGCGATGACGGCACCCCACAGCACCTGTCGCAGGAGCCCGCCTACATCTCACTCTCCTCCAGAATCTCCTCCATGGTATGGGCCTGGGTGAAGTCTCCCTCGCTGCTCTCGGACAGGCTGCGGCCCCAGCGCCAGGCTGTGTGGCCCCCATGGGACCTGGTGCCTGGCTCCCCCAGGCCCTGCATGGTCAAAGGCAGGAGCTGCCCGCCGCCAGGCGAGGACTGTGACTTCTGCAGCGCCCTGGCGCTGTCTCCCTTGGAGAGCTTCTTGGGATACTTCCCCAGGAACCGGAAGTTCTTCTCCAGGCCCCAGGCTCTGCAGCCCGAGTGGTGGGCCAGCATGAAGCGGCCCCAGTGCCTCCGCAGCTCGGCCTTCACCTGCCGGGCGAGAAGAGGGCAGCGTTACTGTCTCAGAGTCATTTGGTCTATTCACCAAATATTAATGAGAGGCTAACTCCGTGCCACCCTTGGGAAACGTATCAGATTGGGGGAGATGAACAGAGAGGAGTGAACAAATACCCATGAGCCTACACATGGCAGTGACACTGTGAGTCCATTAAGCAGGACCACGGGGGAGGAGTCCATTAAGCAGGACCACGGGGGAGGAGTCCATTAAGCAGGACCAAGGTTGAACAGTTTCCATTTTGAAAGGACTGTGCCAAGGTGGCATTTGAGGCCCAACTGATGGGAGAAGATACAGAAGAAGCAGCCATGAGCAAGATGGAGGAGGGTTTGCTATCAAGAAGCTTATATTCGCCAAAACTGGTTTGGCTCAGTGGATAGAGCGTCGGCCTGCGGACTGAAAGGTCCCGGGTTCGATTCCGGTCAAGGGCATGTACCTGGGTTGCAGGCACATCCCCAGTAGGAGATGTGCAGGAGGCAGCTGATCGATGTCTCTCTCTCATCGATGTTTCTAACTCTCTATCTCTCTCCCTTCCTCTCTGTAAAAAATCAATAAAATATATTTTTAAAAAAAGAAGCTTATATTCCAGTGGGAGGAGACAGAAATGAACATCTAAACCTGGAAAGATGAAAGGGGACTGGAAATACACCAATTCTACTGGAGAACTGTTCAGGAGAAACTGGTCTGGCCTCTGCCCCTGCCCCTTTCAAGACTCTTTCCAGAGGAGCAGAGAGCTGGTTGGGGATACGCAATAATCTATAATGATAAAAGCATAGTATGCAAATCGGCTGAATGGTCAAACAGTGGAAAGACCGTCAGGACACGGACGACCTTCCGGACGAAGCCGGGGCTCAGAGGGCCGAGACAGCCGGGGCTGCAAAGGCCTACTCTTGCACGAATTTTGTGCATCGGGCCTCTAATATTAATAATAAAAACCATCACCGTTATCAGGTATTGGGCCCTTCCCGTGAGCTTGGCATGCCCAGGACATCATTAGAGAGTAGGGACCGTTATTATTCCCACTTTATAGATGAGGAAACTAAGGCTCAAAGAGCCACAGTAACCTAACTCAAAGCGCCTAAGTGGGTGAGTGATGGCTTGAGCCCAGATTTTTGGACTGCCACATTCAAGCCTGTTTCCTCTATCACACTAACACTTCCAGCAGGGCCAAAGATGGGCTCTGAGCTTCCTTACACTCATCCCATCCCCTTTTCCCATTTCTCTCAGCTGCCCCTGCTCTCACCTCTGAAACTCATGGTACAAATGTGTCCCATTGCCTGATGGTCACTGCACACTCCCCATGGCACCATCACATAAACAGGAAACCCTGGGTGGCAATAGGATGCCAGCCCAGCCTCACAGGAAGCTAGAATGGCAGCATGGAAAACATACCTCTCCATTGACAAAGCAGTACTGCAAGGCCACAAGTAGTCCCTGGAGTGAAAAGAAGAGGTGGCGTGAACTTTGATTCGGTAGAAGATGTGTCTGAGTTACTGGGAAAGTCCAAAGGCCTGCCCTGGTCCTAGTAGCCCCCAGGGGAGGCAGGCGACTACACTGCTCACACTAACCAGAGCTAGTCATAGCGGTGAACTTGGATTTCCACCAGGTCTCTTCTTACTTTGACACCCACTGCGCGTATCAGCCTACGTGTTTGCTTAGGTGCTCGTAGGTCAATGATGATTAAGTCCCAAAGACCCTATATCATTCATTCAACTATGCAAATACTGTGCCAGGCCACTGCCCATTTCTATTTGTCCACAGTAGGCATTAGCTCATTTTTTCCCTTCACTTGAATTCTTTCCTTTTGGAAACTGACCCTCCCCTATTTCCTAGGCTTCTGTTGGGGTCAATCATGGGGCCCCCATGTTCTAGGATGACCATCACCACAATCTAATTAGTCCAAATGGTCATGTGACCCAAGCGAAGCCAATCTGAGTTGTTTTCACTGGGAAAGAGGAGAGGGTTGTACTCTCTTCCTAGATTTTCCAGCTTTATAGTCACAGCTTTATATTTCTGGGCATCTTGCCAGCTACATGGTGAAAACCCATCTAAGAATGATGCCAACAGAGAAAAAAAGTAGAGGCTGGAGATGGTGGAAGACAGAATTCTGATATTGTCTGAGTATCTAAAATTATTTTCGTTGCTACTTCATAACTGTAATGTTGCTACTGTTATTAATCGTAATGTAAATATCTGATATGCAGGATGGTCTTAGGTGATCCCTGTGAAAGGGTCATTTGACTGCCAAAGGGGTTGTGACCCACAGGTTGAGAACCGCTGCATTAAGGTGATCTGGGCTGTGTCTGTGTTACTGGCTTCTTGTATCACGCCTGGCAAGTTGTTAGTAGGAGGCCTCAGTGTGTCTCCAGAGAGCGGGTTGGTTGTCCTCATGACATGGCAGCAGGCTTCCCCCGAAGGTGCAATTCAAGGGA